ACCACTTTCGGTTCTGTACTTCTTTTTGGTACAGTTTGGCACGCAACAGTTTTGCGGCATTTTCAAAAACTGGCGCTCTTCACATCAGGCGGCCATTTTTATTTACTTGGCCCAACTAGCCTCGTTTTCAAGTTAAACGCTCCCAGTCTCTTTTCGTTCTGCATAGGGTGTATAGGCATAATTGATATGCCCTGAGACAGGGACTAGCAAGTTATCAACACCCCCATAACGTTCTGGTAGGTGAAATATTGCGTCTGGCCTTCCTGCTATGGTATCATGACGAGACTTCCTTATATAATGAGTGTTCCAAGAATTACCCAACCTTTCCAGATCATTTTAAAGTAATTCAGAAAAACAAAACCAAAGGCACTCCAAATGGAGATCATCTGCTGTGTTTAGGGTGCCTTGTTCTATCAAGTCTTTAAAAAAGTTCATCCACCAAGTTGCCCAGTTTTTTCTTAAAAAGCTCCACCAGCATTCTATTCTTTGATTTCATGGAGAGGAAACATATCTGTGAGAGTTAGGATCATTCATAAAGAATGTGTGTATCCCAGCCAAAGTACCATTTTCTGTACCAAGGTCGGTGTCAAGCTCTCTGGGACAGCCACCTAGTTGCTTCACAGCGTCCAGGTAGTATGAGGCAATGTTGTCAGGATAGTTATTTGAACGAGTTACATACAACCAGATGACTTTGCGGCTGAAGCCATTCATACATGCATACATAGGAAAGCCATAAAGTTTAAGCTTATCGTAGCCATCAGCATGCCAGGCACTGTTTGGCCTCAGAATACGATAAACTCTCCTTTTAAGTCTGTGTGCTTTCCTTGATTCAACTCCATCTGGGTCAACTTCTTTAAGTACTTCCATAACTACTGAACGAGGTACGTAGATGCCTCTCGTTCGTAGACTATGGCAAACAGAACGATATCCTACAATCGAATTTGGACCATGCAATATGTCAATAATGGCTGTTCGTACGGTATTCGGATCCTATTCAAGACATTTTCTCAACAAACCATAATCTTTTAAGCGCCTTTTTAGAATTCTTAAGCTTAAATATATCCCATGACTCTTTGAAAGTATTCCTATAATATCTTCGTAGCTAAAACCACAGTTAAAAAGCTGTACAATATGAGTTCTTTCGTTCTCGTTGTCAGCCATCCTGGAAAGGAACAAGCTCAAGTGCGCATGCATGGATGTTGGGTAAGCCACTTCGGCCGTGACATTTCGAGTCTGTTTTGCCACGAGGTTTCTTCATTTCTGCTGCAGTTTCGCCTCGTTTTTCCGTAAATCGGCATTAATTTGCCGTGTCTCGGTGTTGATTTGCCGTGTCTCGGTGTTGATTTGTCTCGGTGTTAATTTGCCGCGTCTCGGTGTTGATTTGCCCTGTCTCGTGTTCATTTGCCGTGTCTCGGCATCAATTTATCATGTCTCCGTGTTGATTTGCCATGTCTCGATGTTCATTTGCCGTGTCTCAGTGTTGATTTGCTGCGTTTGAGTTGTGGCCCTTGTGGGCCACCGTAGATTAGAGTCACAGCACATATAAAAAGACTGGGAGAGAAAATACGTATCAGGAAACACGCCAAAGAGGGGCAACTGGGTCCGTTAACCCCTGAAGAACTTCTGCAAGCAGAGTTATTCTGGATCAAAGATGCACAGAAAGGCCCACATGATCGCCTGGTAAAGGGCGAGTTCAAAACACTCAGCCCATTCATTGATGACAAAGGAATTATTAGAGTCGGAGGACGGCTGGAAAAAGCTATCATGTCCTACAAGATGAAACAGCCTGCCCTGCTCCCGACGACAAATTGGATATCACTCTTAAAAACGCAACACATACACCAATTCAGCCATCCAGGAGTGGTTAAAACAACTGCCAAGACCAGACAACAATACTGGATCTTGAAAGCCAATAAGTTAAGCAAATCAGTGAAGTCCCGCTGTGTTTCTTTTAAAGAGATGTCGCATAAGGCAGAGGAGCAACTGATGGCTGACCTGCCCGATATACAGCTGATTCCTCATGCCCCACCATTCCACTATACCTCCTGTGACTATTTCGGACCCTACAACGTCAAGATTGGAAGAAACAAGCAGACAAAACACAATGGCGTAATATTTACTTGCCTGAACGCGCAAGCAGTTCACCTGGAGTTAGCAGTAGACTTATCAACAATAGGATTCACGCATTCTTGCAGAGAATTTTCTCCATTCGAGGTCAACCAGCGCTCATACTGAGTGACAACAGGTCACAGATGGTTGGGGCAGAGAGAGAGTTGCGAGAAATGATTGAAGGTTGAGATGCTGACAAACTCAAGAAGTTTGGTGCGGAGAGAGGAATACAGTGGAAGTTTGCCACACCTGCAGCTCCGCATCAGAATGGATGTGTTAAAGTCTCTCCTCAAGATGTGCAAGATAGCGCTGAAAGGCGCCATAGGTGACCAAGTGTTAACGCCGTTTGAATTGTACACCTGTCTGATGGAAGTCGGTAACCTCATGAACCAACGCCCGATAGGTCGCCTTCCGAATGACCCGGATGACGGTGCGTACATATGTCCAAACGACATGCTGCTAGGGCGAGCCTCATCGACAGTACCGAAAGGACCATTCAAGGAAACGAAGAACCCAAGGCACAGGGTGGAGTTCATTCAATGGATTGTGGACTCGTTTTGGAAGCGCTGGGCCAGAGATGTGTTCCCGACACTCATCCCGAAGAAGAGATGGCACACAAAGCGACGCAATGTACGAGTTGGGGATGTAGCGGCACTCTCTAACGACAACGCCATCAGAGGAAAGTGGACCATCTGCAGAGTGATAGAAGTCTATCCTGGTCCAGACGGACGAGTCAGGAACGTGAAAGTGAGGACAGCATAATCAGAGTATTTTAGACCCATCACCAAGATTTCTGTCATTTATCCTGCTAAAAGAGATCGCTAATGATAGTCAGGCTGATCAAAAAAAGGATAAGGACTACGCCCTTATTGTGGCAGAGAATGTTTCGTTGATCAAAAGCCAATAATATTTTAATTTAGTAATCCGTTTGTTGACATTTAATTAGTAATCGACCACGTGATTTACCACCCATTGCGTAATCGCTTAAGGCTGACCTTTGAGTTAATGTGACATTTTTGCCATAACACGCAGTCGAGAGCGATCAGTCCTTTTTCTACCTCGCTACCTGAAGTGTCCCGAGAGAATTTTGCTAACCTGTTTCTTGGTACTGGAGTTTTGATTGGATTGCACCACAGAAGTGAGTAGTGTGTTTGTAATCAGTTGGAATTTTAGTATCATCATTTCGTTTTCCAGCATGAAATTGTCAGGAATCGCTTGCTGTTAGATCGCTCAGAAATTATGTATTTTTTCTGTAGATCGAATAAAAACCAATTAAAAGGATTATACGATTCCGTGCCCAATCAATTACTCGCAGGCCATTTTCAATTTAGACATTACCCTGTTGACATTTTCCAATGTTATTGTTAATTGTCAATATAATGATTGTTTATAGCATATCCTTGTTGAACATTTAGTACAGTGTTTTCAGTGTTAGTTGAAACTGGTACAATAGATAAATATTGGGTATGTACAAGTTTGATTTGTTTTCACCAAAATAATACAGTTTTGAAACCAAACAGAGAAATTATTATCCAATATGATGACATTAAGTTTAAATCTTGTCAGTAGAGTGATGAAATTACCAATATCAAGAGCTTTGGTTTCTCAACAAAAACTAGTAATTGTTCAGAAAAGGTTCAGGACATTCAATATATAGACATTAGAGGTACCTTTGTCTATACTTTCCAATATTAGTGTTATTCTTGATTCATGCAATGTCACCTTTGCCAGTTTGTGTATGCCTATCTCCAAATCCATCATCAGCATTTGTCCACTCAGTTCCAGCCAGCCCAGTGAATATAAGCCCAGTTGGCAGTCTGCTGGTAATCCAACCTCTGCTTGTTAACTCTCTTATACTAATGCACAAGGGAGCTGTTTCCCTTAGTCTGTTAGATGTCATTAAGGTAACCCAAACCTCATCACCCAACACCAAACAGCCTACCCTGCAGGACAAAGCTGAAAAGATCCAAAAGACCCTTGGAAAGGTTCTCAAGCATATAGACACACTGATTGTTGTTCATTGCTGCACCAGGGAGACTCATGCACCAGAAGCAGTTCAGGCAAAAGTAACTGCCCAGCAGAGAAGGATCAAGCAGTTGATCTAACACTGAGTAGAATACCGCCCTTTAGCACTGATAAAAGCCATAACATTTGTTGAGTCAGTAACAAGAAGCCACCAACTCCAGAAAAAAAGTTGAGATGAGAGAATTTGTCTTCCGGTATTTTCTAACCATGTTGATGCAAAACAATAACATGAATTTTGCAAAGCTAATCCAGAAAAACGGATTCAGCGCTGCATTGAAATTTGCTGTTGTATTATAAAGTCATTTTGCAAAATTATAAAACGCTTTCTTTATAGAAAGGAAAACATAACTTAGCCAAAGCAGGAATTAGTAAGAGAAGGTGACAAAACCACTGCATTATGGATATTGGAAAGTCTGAACAAACATTTGGCATCACATGTGTAGGTTTAAGTCAAGTTAAATGGTTGTCCTCACTTGTAATAGAGCCAATGACTTTGATAGACTTAAAAGTATATATACACTATAAACTACAGACAACAGGTGAAACAAAGATTGAATGATGACAAAGAACCATTTTAAAGAACAAAAATAACTGCATTTATGTGTCATCAAAAGTAATAACAATTAATTCTCTTTGAATAATTCTCTTTTAGGTGACCCAAGTATAAATGGTTCAAGTAGTAAGTTGTATTCCATTTTTACCATTATTTTGCTTAATAGTCAATAAGGTAAAACATTGAACAATATTGAGAAATTAACCCACAGTTTTTATCAGAGTTTCTATTTCTCAAACTAATAATTTTCCTTTCACCTCAATTTAAGTGACATGTTATCATACACTGTTAATAAAATACCCAGGGCAAGTTCTGTGCTATACATGTAAATGTACATCAGCCCAAATTGATGCAGTAACCATCTTGAAATCAAACATATTTAAGAGAATGTCATTAAGCAATTTGAATTACCTATATGAATCCACCATAACCTCTCCCAAATTGTGCTATATCAATCCACTGAAAAAATTGACACAATTTATTATCTACTATTAATGATCACTATTCATTTAGACACAACAATAAGTTAACTATAGAGATGAGACATGCAAGAACAAATGTTGTTAAAATATAGTTATTTTCATAGAGTTGTGGGAACAATTGGAACTCCCTTGCCCTTTCCATCTGTGAGGCAACAAGTGTAAGTTCTTTTAAAGTCTTAGTTCATGGATTAGTTCATTCTCTTAGATAAGTGTATTTATTTTTTAATATTTTTATCTATTTCTACCATATTTTAATTTGCATTATTATTTTCATTCAAGTACCACTGGTGATTTGTTCTAATATGGGGTCTATGACTCTTTTACATTTCATCCCTTGGCTTCTGTTTTTTGTATGCCATAATTCGATATATACCAGTATTTGATGCTTTTGATCTACTCAGTAACAACTTAAATTCTATAATTTAGTCCTTTTATTTCAGAACAAAGCATGGTTGGTTATTTATATAACTTGTTGTCTATAAAGACCAGCAAAAACATGAATCGGTATTTTTCCCAAAATTTCCAAACAAACACTAATTAAAAGTAAACCGCACTGTCTACTTCTCCCCAGGGAACCATTCAGTGTTCAAGCCCAAATTCAAGTCTTCATCACCTGTTGAAATACAGAAGTTTCAACTAAAGAAAAACCATAAGGAAGAATTGATTCTCAACAAAAGAACAAAAATTCAAAATCCCCATGGAAGTGAGACAGATTTTGATCTCCAACAAATAAACAAAGAAACCATGGAAGCAACAGACAGCTCAGTAGAGGAAATTCAAGGTCAAGAAAATAATACCCTGTTCAACATTGCTGGCCGTATTTTGTCTCACTTCCCCATGGAAGTGAGACAGATTTTGACCTCCAACAAATAAACAAAGAAATCATGGTAGCAACAGACAGCTCAGTAGAGGAAATTCAAGGTCCCTGTTCAACATTGCTGGCCGTATTTTGTTTGATGATGCTGCAGAAACTGTGAATCTTCACAGAAAATCTTTGACTAAACAAGAAGTCCTGCTTACAGATAATAGTGGATCTCTATGGCTGGTCTTGTTGAAACAGGACACAAGTAAAATAAAATCAGGGCAATATTATGAAATATCAGATGTTGCCATTAAAGAAATTAATGGCACAAACTATTCAACTTTAATGAATTTAACCGCACAATAAATGAGGCTGACAGATTAAGGATAGATTGAGAAGTTGTTGTATTAATAAAAGAAAAACAACAATTGAAGCTGCAATTCCCACCAGAAGGAATTATCTAAGTTCAGTCTTACTGAACCCACAACAAGTGCCCCTCAAAAGTTATGGACAGTGACAAGAAAATCCTCAAATATCCTGAGTGTGACCTAATGCAACTGAAGACCAAACGTTGAGGTAAAATAATGGCCAGTATTCTTACTATCACTGGGAAAGATGTGACTTCCCTAGATATATTTGACGATATGATTAAACAACTGTATGCTATTACAACAGAACAGGATGGGGAATTGGTGAAGGAATTTGCAGACTTTAGTGATATCACTGAACTGCTTCTTACTGTGGAAGGAACAGTTGTATTCAATGACAAAAATGCCAAAGGGGTGATCAAATCAGCGTAAATCATAAGCAAATCTCTTTTTATAAGCTGATAGTAATTTATAACTAATTTCCAAAATGCAAATAGGTCTTTAAATTAATCTGGATATATCAACAAAGTTGAAATGGTAAATTGGCCACCGTAACGATTACAAAAGCTGACGTTTAGAGCGTTAGCCCTTCATCGGAGCGAAAGAGTAATTGTGGGTTGTGTGTGCTTTTAAAGGCAGAAAATGGAGCTACGTTATTAGTGGGAACATGGCAACGAGAAAAACACGAATAAATTAGTGGAATGAAAAGCGTTCGTTGATCCCTGTGGGATTTAGACTGCCGGTTTGAAAAATGAGAATTTGTTCAAGAGTTTTATGGCTTTCCGTGCTACTTAAATGTAAGGAAAGACCGCAGATTGCCATATGTTGCTTAGAATAATTAGGTAAATTAAAGTGTCTAGCAACTGGTTAATCATTTGCTTTTACTCTAAAAGTTCTGTTAGCTGCATTCTATGCAAGTCGTTAGAAGTATATTTTTTTAAAAAAATTCACATTAATTTTCTAATCATTTGAAACAATGGTTTTTGTCGCCAGTGGCACCTGAAAACAGCCAAGTAATGTTAATGTTTTTTCAACACTTGATGCAACCATTGGTTTTATTGATGAATAGGAATTATTTGTTTTGTAGGTGAAAATGGGAAATTCCACTTGTTTTACTTAATAAGTTCCATAAGATTTGTCTTTGTATATTGTTCACTCTATATTTTTAGCCAATTGCAAACTAATTTTTTAACTATTTATATCCATTTTTATTAAAATACCTCATTGTTGTTTTTACAAATGATATCTAAGAATTACCATGCAATTAACTATATCAATGTTAGCTATTTCAAATAAAGCCATGATTAATTATGTCTTTAACTGGCTTTAAAAACATAAGATGTTAACATAGCAACGATTCATTCATTTCAGCAATGCCTTCTGTACTAAGCTGATTAATTGGTTTTTTTTTGGACATTCTCCCATCATTTGTTTCTCTTCACAACCAACTCTTTGAACTGCTAAGATAATCCTCACCAACTTTCATGCACCATGGTCGTGATTACCAATGATAGTGAGCAGAAGAGAAGTTTGTGCATTCTAATAATGCATTTCACACATCATAAGCATTTAGAAAACTGGCCATCAAAACTAATAGGTATAGACCAATCAGAGTTTTGAACATTAATTACAAGCTCCCCACCCTCTGCATAAAAAAAATTTCGTCTTACAATAACAACTATACTCGCAATCCAGTGCACGGACAGAATATCACTTGAGGTAAGAGGGGTGCCCTTAAATCTTAGTTTTGGAAACACCCCACCATTTGACACTACTATAAGAAATAAAGGTCATGAATCACTGCGTAAACTATCAATAGGATGTGCCGCAGCATTACCATCTTTTAGATATCCTATTAAAACTATGACAAGATTATACTTAGTGTTAAGTTTTGTTACAATGTATGTAACATCACATGCTAGTCGAATCTGAGTGATTAGAGAAACAAAAGCAAATAAAAGTTTATTCATTGACCAACGAAATACACGAAGAAATAATTGGCTTTTTAACCTTGAGAGAGTTCCGTTGGAAAAGAAGGTAAGACAGGCGACTAAACCACTGCCACACTCGCCGCACGAAATAGGAAATACTCAGGGTGCTTGTTAGAGCTTGACCCATTTTCAAAACGGCGGATTTTACCGCGAAAAGTTCGATAACAACAGCATACAATGGCCGATATATTCAAAATTCTTTACAAAACCAAACCTCAGGACTTATTATGATGAAGTTGTACGCTTTTCTGTCCTTTGTTACTGTATATACATCAGTGTTACTTTGTAGCAGGTTGTAACCATAGTGAGGTTCATTTCAGACAAAGTTTTGTGAAAACTACCTCTGTACCAACCTACAAACCAATTAAATATCCTAAGCAGTGAACCAAACAACAGAATATCAGCCCCTTTAGTTCATGCAGTAAATGGTTTGAACCCAGGGGTAACATGTGAAGGTGTAGTCTGATCGTCCGGGTGAGTGTAGTCCTGAGAAGGACTGTTGTCAGTGGTAGTGACTGACGTTTCGACAACCTGTGCAGAAGTCATCATCAGAGTCAAGTGAATGATTGTTGTCAGTAGAATGTTCTTATTCCAGTTCATGTGAAATAATCGGTTGGTTTTGCCGTGATGTTATTGGTTGTAAGACTCAAGTGACGTAAGTCGGTCGTGATTGGTTTGTTTCGATCTGTCGGTAAAGTTAGGTCGTTCTTTTTCGGTCATTTGTGATGTTTATGTCGTGAATGAGTCGTTTGTATGGAGCGGGTAGTTGTTGACATCTGTTTAGGGGAGTCTGTTCTAAGTTAGTAATTGTAGGTCTTACAACCAATAACATCACGGCAAAACCAACCGATTATTTCACACGAACTGCAATAAGAACATTCTACTGACAACAATCATTCACTTGACTCTGATGATGACCTCCGCACAGGTTGTCGAAACGTCAGTCACTACCACTGACAACAGTCCTTCTCAGGACTACACTCACCCGGACGATCAGACTACACCTTCACCCTTTAGTTCATCTTTCTCAAAGACTGATTTCGCGAACACGTATGACAGAAAATCTAAAAATGGAGACTTTAGGCAAATTCAGAGGGTTGGTTTGTGGCGATCATGCAACTGTCAACCTCATATAAACCATCTACACCGAAATCGGGGAAATCATCAAAATTTCATAAAAGAAAGGAAGCTTGGTCTGAAAAATGCTCTAGAATAACAGTAGGTTTGAAACTTTAACAACACTAACGTAACGAAAGTGGTTCGCAAACCTTTAGGAAGTATTGATTCTGAAAAGCGTGATATTTGATGTGATCCATTTGCGTCCCAAGAGTTTCAACCGCCAGCATTCAATAGAATCTCTTCCTTCCAAAACTTCAGGGACTTTTAACCTACAATTAGGGCACACAAATGGAAAAAATATAGAAACAGTCTTTACAGATATTTCAAATGACTTCAAAGTTGATTTCGAAAGCTACTGACGATCATTCATGTTTGAAGTCCAACGCAATATTCTATCACACTTATGTGTTGCCGTTGCATGTTCGTGCAAGACGAGCTATGAATTAAGTAACAGAAGTTTCCTTTACAAAATACAGCTTACCCTGACATCTAAAAGTTAAATACTACTTGAAGATATACCCACTTCAGCCACACACCGTTAGGATAGGTGTTCAAATGTGTTGTCCTGACACAATCACGTGTCTCCCTCTTGACGACGAAACCACAGTGTACGGTCAGCGGTTTTTGTTCTCATTTCCGGTAATTACTGTTGACACTTTTATCATCACGGGTTTATTACGAATCAACTTAACGGCGTGCTCCCAGTTGTTAGCCCAGTTGTTAGCTCAATTGTTAGCTCAATTGGTAGAGCGCTGCACTAGTATCGCCTTTGATCCAATAAGAAAACACGCAGAGCAAAGAAATATCCAGTCTCACTAACAAGAATGTATGTACGTCTGTAGCAGTAAAAAGTTTGACCCGATAGACTACAAACAAAACCGTGACATTACATAGATGCTCTAATGAGTCACAATACAAATGCCAAAAAGCGTTTCGATGTGTTTACTTTATTTCAGATTAACCCTTGGGAAAACAGTTGCGCTTTCAGTTATTCTTGTAACCTTGTCCTATCTCTCCCTCGCAGAATGGTAAATAAAGGGTGTGAATACTCTCTAAGACTTTTATTTCCTTGTAAGTGCATCAGTTTTCTGATAATTGTTCTCAGCTCGAAGACAACAACTTTGCTATCCAGACAGGCCCGTATCACATTCAATGGGTAAATATAGTTTGTTTTTCTCGATGTTTTGGTAGTAGAGGAAGTAGAATGATTTCCTGAGTTGGTCATTTATAGACAGCAAAACGATATTGAAATGGTATTTGGCCAACTTGTTCAAAGAAGTAGACGGTCATTGCATATACTGGGTAAAACATACCTAAGGTATCATCTTTGTATGGCAATCTGCGGTCTATCCTTACACTTAGGTAGCACGGAAAGTCGTAAAACTCTTGAACAAATGCTCATCTTTCAAACCGGCAGTCTAAATCCCACAGGGACCAACGAACGCTTTTCATTCCACTAATATATTCGTGTTTTTCTCGTTGCCATGTTCCCACCAATAACGTAGCTCCATTTTCTGCCTTTAAAAGCACACATAACCCACAATTACTCTATTCGCTCCGACGAAGGGCTAACGCTCGAAACGTCAGCTTTTGTTATTGTTACGGTGGCCAATTTACCATTATAACTTTGTTGATATATCCAAATTATATCATCTTTGTAAACGTGCTGGCTGAAGCATAGTAACTAAAATATCAGAATTATCGACCCATTGACCATGCATATATTATAAAGATCAGATCAGTGAAAATGAAGGTTTTAGTGTTTTGAGTTTCCTGAAGCTTTGACATATAAAGGCTACGATGATATGACGTAATAAAATGTTCGGCTCGTTGGATGCATATACTGCATATATATAGTGTGAGACACCATATTTACTTTAACAATCTCGTGGGGAGAATATATTCTGGTGTAAGATTTTCTGTCCCAAAGTATAATGAAGCTAAATGAATAATTGGGGTAAGTTTCTAAAGAAACTGTGGTGCTGCATCAGTGTGAGTAATAAGGTAAGTAGGGTTTTATCGACTGAGTTGATAATGTAAATTGGCCATCGTAAAGAGTTTAAAAGCTGATGTTTCGCTGGAGCATTAGCCCTTCGTCTGAAGCTATACCATTAAAATTAGTCAAGTGTAAAGACTTTGAGTAAAATGACTTCTCTCATTGGAATGAAAACACAAGATAAACAGCTTACTCTCCAACTTTTAAACCCATTGAAATTTTATTTGAGATATATCTCCGTCACGTTATAAAAGCTGCCAAGGTTGCCATTGAGTTTTCGCGTGTCCTACAATCTGTAATTTCTATCCAGTTATCTGAAAGAAGAAAACGTAATACCATTTTAATTACATCCTTTCTCTTTGCTATGAAACTTCAAAATGCTAATACACTTACATGAAAAGTGATTTCAGAGAGGTGAATGGCTATTTTTCCAAGAGCAATCTTTATTCAACATGAATGAGTAGGCACTCAGTATAATGTGTTACAGAGCCATAGCAAAGTAGAACTCAGGAAATAAAACGCTATCAATTTTCTCACATGACAGTGTGCGCAATGATACGACTAAAGTCCATGTTTATGATAACGTAAGATAAAAAGACTTTCAAACGTATTTTGTAAACGTATTTTTGGATACCCACCCACTATAATAATAATTCAGTATTTTCGAAATAGCTTTGTATTGTCTGTTTAATTCCAGCTGCGCTGCCATGTTATCGTGTTTAAGTTTACAGCCTTCAATCAATCAATCAATCAATACTTTATTTACCCACGTAGCGTCAAGGAGCTCATAGAGCTCGTTCAAAATACGTACGTGCCTCTAAGATTAAGAATCTAAAAAACCTAATACATACTTTCAAAACCTAGTTGATTAGAAATTAAAATAACTAACAATTAATATTAAATTTTAAGTTTGTACATTAAAATTCAAAGTCACTTAAATACAGGTATTAAATGGCGAAGCAATAGCTTAAATAATTTGTACAAAGTACAATAATTTGTAAATAGTTTGTACAATGAAATTGAGAGTCACTTAAATACAAGTATAAAATGGAGAAGCAGCTTAAGTTTCAATGTTCTAAATAGCTTGTTAAAAAGGTTGATAAATTGTGCAGTTTTACACTCGTAGGTAATCCATTCCACAGCTGCGCACACTTATAAGTGAAAGATTTTTTCATAAAATTTAAATTAAATTTAGGTGCGCACAAAAAAATTTAGGCTTTCTGCAAACGCTTGATTATTTCTGGTCGGATAATATCGTTTAAAACTGAAAAGATAGACCTTAGTGAAATTTAACAGACTGACTTGAAGAAAAGATTAACGCACTAGCTAGAAGACGGAAGAACTTTCCACCGATGTGAACTGGGAAGCTATTAGTTGCAAGAATCCTTCGAATTCTTCTCAGTCCATGCGATGGAAAGCATTAGCAATTGTCGGAGAATCGAAAGGTGATCATGATTACTTTTTAAACAGAATCAATTTTCAAGTATTTCGCCAAGCATGTTGAAGTTGAAAACGCTGGGTATTTGCTTTGGTTCTTTGGAATTCTAGAGAACAACTTAATCGGCAGCATTCTGATCTGAAAGAAAGGAGTCTTTGCACACAATATAAATATCAACTCTCGAAGTAAATTATCAGTTATGTTTGTAGCCGTTCTATTTTGATTAACAATGGTAGCGTAATCATTTCAAATCATAGGCAAAGATTTCGTGAATGATCTTCTGCTGTTTCATTTATTCGCGATATATCTTTAAATTTGTCATTTCCAAATTTTACAATTTTACAAACCTTGGACTCATTTCGATGAAAGGTTAAAAACTCAAGGTTCGAAGAGATCTTACAATTCTCTGGCTTATATCTCGTAGTCATTGTAAGTTTGGTTTCAAGGCTTTTAAAAATTATTATAACTGCATTTGTCAACAACAAATATCAAGAATGCGGTAATACGCTACAATGTTTTTGAGGAAACCGTCCACTATTCATGTAGCTTTGTATTTTGATTGTATCATCTTGTTCACCATACGAGGTACCTCAAGAGTTCAAGAGTCTTTGTAGGTATTGCGGAGACTGAAGTAGCATCACAATAAAAAAATATATATTGATTCCACTTTTTCCCCTTCAACTGACGGTCTAACAGACACATAAATTGGTTTTAGTTTTTTTATTTGGATGTCTGGGTCATTAAAACAACAGCTCTAATCGCTCATACACATGCAGGCGTCTATGTATTTCTTCCAAAAAGTTCGATTCTGTTAATTCTCAGTGGGAGGATTGATCGATAGATTCATTACGTTAGGAGAACGAACATTATTGAACGAACAATATTTTAAACAGGATAATTTTAGGAAGGGATGACATAGATTTTGTCTCTGAAAGATCATCTGATGGCGTGTTTTTGCAGACTGCTCCTGGGTATAGCTCAGTAATCTTCTGTACAGAGCACGGGGAAAATTTAACTCTGCAAAGTAAGAGAGAGAGAGGGAGAGAGTGTGTGTGTGAGGGAGTTAGCAGAAATTTGAACAAATCGCCATCACTAATATGTTTTTTATTCATATTAAAGGAGGAACATAGCCAGTAGTGTGAAATGGAAGTGATGTAATTCAGCATAATATGGAGAGAAGGACAGGAAGCTTTGACTTCGTTTACTGCATCTTTCTCATTTGTAAAGGCCCTTTGAACTTAAACAGGTTAATCATTCTTTTGTGTAATGTAAGCGGACGAAATAGACTCAGCAGATGCAGGAACTTCTTGTAGGCACTTCTAAAGTCTGGTTGTATAGTTGATTTTACAATGGGGGCCATGTTTTCTTTGGTTACCACCACGTGGCGATAGTTTAGAGCCACAATTAAGTGACGTATAATGTACAATTTTCTTCGCAAATTTAAGAGAAAGTTTCTACAATGTATTTAGATCGATCTGACGATACAATTTGAAGTGTAATGCGTTTAATCTGTATTTTTGTGTGATGTAAGAGTGGAGGACTGCCTGAAGGCTCTTTAGCCGTAATGTCCATGGTTCAAACGCTTCACTCTCTTCGGCCAACATTGCCGAGGAAATTTAGAAATTCACTTTCGAGAAGGGAGATGAAAGCGACACGAGTTTTACCTGGCATCGAAAAATAGCTGCATGAGATATGACAGTTAATAATAAGGGTCAAAACAACGTTGTAAAGAGAGAAAATCGTCTATGGCTTTCATATCAAAACATATAGCACCATAATAGCCTTAGGAAGTTTCTTAATTTTGTCATATTTTCCTATTACCCAAAGGCAAATGGCCCTTTTTACTATTTAGTAACATTTGCATCATGCCTCCACGAAATCTCACAATGGGCTCGACAAAAAGGTACATTTGAAGTTATAGTTTTCAGTCGATGTTTAAAATGCAGCTGAACATGTTTTCTGAGCGGGTGATATTTTAGAAGAACATGGTTAACAATATGTTCGTATGATCAAGAAATGACTTAAAGAAACGACCAATATCAATTCTAAGTGCAGTGGTCTTTCTATACCGGCACACAAAGACCGATGGCAAATACATTGTATGACGGCCTTTGCTTTGAAATCAATTGCAGATTTG